ACTGGGGAATATTATGTGTTGAATTGTCTTTTCTCCCTTTAATTCTGATGGTCTTTGCTCCATGTATTTTGTGGCTCTCTAGTTAGGTGCATATCTGTTTATAATTATTATATCTTCTTGATCTTTTGACCCTTTTATTGTCATAAAGGTCCTTCTTTTTCCCTAGTAAACGTTTTTGTTGGTATTCTGCCTGCCCCACCGGCTTCCTTTGAGACTTTATCTTTTTTTTTTTACATTTTGAATATTGTATACCTAAAAGTAGTTTTTTAAAAGTATTTATCCCACTTGGTGTTCTCTGAACTTCCTGGATCTGTGATTTGGCATCTGTCATTAATAATTATAAAATTCTCAGCCTATATTCCTTCAAATATTTCTTCTGTTCCTTTCTTTCTTCTCCTTTGAGTATTCTCATTATATGTATGTTACATATTTTGCAATTGTTCTATAGCTCTTAGATAGTCTGTTCTCTTTTTTTCACTTTTTTTTTCGCTTTGCTTTTCACTTTGGGATGTTTCTATAGATATATCTTCAAGCTCACTGGCTTTTTCCTCAGCTATGTCCAGTCTACTGATGAGCCCATCAAAGACATTCTTTATTTCTGTTACCATAGGTTTTTTCAAAATGTGTTGCATTTCCTTTTGGTTCTTTCTTTCAGTTTCCAGTTCTTTGCTTACATTACCCATCTTTTCTTGAATGTTGTTCACTTTTTCAGTTACAGCTCTTAGCATATTAATCATAGTTATTTTAAACTTCCTGTCTGATAATTGGAAAATCTCTACCATATATGAGTCTCATTCTGATGCTTGTTTTGTCTCTTCAGACTTTTTTTTTTTGTCTTTTAACATGCCTTGTAATTTTTTGTTGAAAGCCAGACATGATGTGTTTGTTAAAGGAATTGAGGTAAATAACTTTTAGCATGAGCTTTTATGTTTATTTGGGTAGGAGTGAGGCTATGTTTACTCTTTGCCATAGCTGTGGTGTCAGAGGCTAAAATTTCCTCTAATGTCTCTCTCTTTTGGTCTTCCCTGCTGGCTTTGGGTTTCCCTAGAGACTCCTTCTTAAACAGAATTTGAGCCTTGCAGTTCTTTTGGTTGTAATCCCCTGTTATTATACAGGAGCCTGAATGATGTAGTGGTAAGATGTGGGAGGAGGGGAAGAATTCTGGAATCATCTGTGACCAGGTTTTATTCTTTGGTAAGCCTGTGCCCTGGGCTGTGCCCTTCACAAGTGCCTCTCAGCTCTCCCCACCTTGGGTGAGACAGGAAGGCTAGAGGGGGGCTGCAGTTGCGTACTTCCTTTCCCCTATGTCAATTCAGCTGTGGTAAAATAGTTTCCCTTGAGGGCAGGCCTTTGTTAAGGAGAACAGAATGCTCTGGGTGTATTTCAGAATGGTTGCTTTTTCCTCTCCCCTTGCTGGAGAGCAGTCTTTACCCTGAGAAGCTGGTGGGGCTCCTGAGGTTAAGGATGCACCCCTAGAGCCCTCTCTCAAGCTAGTCTGAGCTCAGTCCCAGCAACTGGTCATTTGCTCTCTAGCTGCTCCTACCAGTTACTGCCTCCAGCAGCATTTCCTGCTCCTGCTCAGCTGTGACTCTTTGTGTGCACCTGTCTCCCCGGTTTTGGGATCTGTAGTTTGCCCCATGACCCCAATTCTCTGACGGACCTAAGAAGGGTTGTTGATTTTTAGCTTGTTCAGCCTTTTCCTTGTTGTGAGGATGGAGGTGATGACTTCCAAGCTCCTTACATGCCAGACCAGAAACCAGAAGTTCCCCATTCTCTCCTGAATCTACACCAGCAAGGCTTTCCACCACATCACTCTTCTGAAACTGCTTTTGTGAAGGTCACTGATGTCTAGATATTGCCAATCCAACCATCATCATTGTAGTCAACCTGTGAACAGATGTGACACAGCTGATTACTTCCTCTCTTTGGAAACAATATCTTTACTCGAATTCTGGGCCAGTCTCTCTCTTGGTTCCCCTACAGCTATGACTACTCCTTCTAGGTCTCCTTTCCTGGTCCCTCCTTATCCCCTTGACCTTTAAACCCTGGAGGGTACAAAAGGTCAGCCAATGGACTTATTCTCTTCTCTGCCTACAGGGCTGGAAATATGATCCATAGGTTTATAACTTCCAATTTTATATCTTCAGACTGGACTTCTCCCCTCAACTTTAAGTCAAATATTCACCTGCTTATGCAAAGTTGCTCCTCCACAGTCTTCCCATTCCAGTAAAAGGCAACACCATCTTTCTGTTGTTTGACCAAAAGCATTGAGTCATCCTTGACTCCTTTCTTTCTCATCCAACCCAGCAGTAAATCTTGTCCAGCCTACTTTCAAAACACATCCAGAATCTGACCACTTCCCACCTCTTCCACGGCTCTCTCTTTAGTCAGAACCGCCACCATTTCTCAGCTGGGCTATTACAATAACACCCTGCCTGCTCTCCTGTTGTGCCATTACCCCTCATGATCTATATTCAGACAGGGCAATCCTGTTAAAATGAAGGTCAGATCCTGTCACTCCTCTGCTTGGGATCCTCCAGTAGCTTCTCATTTCATTCAGAGTAAAAGCCAAAGTATTTTGACTCCAACTCTTTTTTTTTTTGCGGTACGCGGGCCTCTCACTGTTGTGGCCTCTCCCGTTGCGGAGCACAGGCTCCGGACGCGCAGGCTCAGCGGCCATGGCTCACGGGCCCAGCCGCCCTGCGGCATGTGGGATTTTCCCGGACCGGGGCACGAACCCGTGTCCCCCGCATCGGCAGGCGGACTCTCAACCGCGGCGCCCCCAGGGAAGCCCGCCTCCAACTCTTTGAACAGATCCACTGTTCTTCCTCTTGCTCATTCTGCTAGAGCCACGCTGGCCTTGCTGCTCCTCGACTAAGCCAAGTCTCCCAACCGCAGGACCTTTGCACATGCTGTCCCTGCTGCCTAAACAGATATCTTCATGACCTGCTCCCTCCCAGCCTTTACATCTTTACTCCAGTGTCACCTGCTGGATGAGGCCTTCCTTCCCCTCTCACCCAATGTGAAAGTGAAATCAGCTCCTCCATCATTTTCCATATCCCTTGCATGGCTTTATTTTCCTTCACAATATTTATCACCATCTGTTGTATCACAGATTTATATGTGTGTTGTCTCTCTTCCCCATGAAAATATTCATTTCATAAGAACAGAGACTTTGTCTCATTTGGTTCACAGCTATATTTCCAGTGCCTGGCATCGGTATGTACTCAATACCTTTTTGAATGAATGAATGTGTGAATATCAGGTTGAGACTCCATGGGTAAGAGGTAGGATTAATTTGGTTACTTAGGGGCTCAGAGATAGTGTAGAGATGAATTTGGAGGAGGGGGAGAATACATGGCAAGGGAGTGGTGGGGTGTAGGTCTGGATAAGGTGTGTGCGTGTGTGCGTGTGTGTGTGTTGGTTTGCATAGGCCTGCAGATGTGTGTGGTCCCACAGGAGGCAGAAAAGACCACAGAGGAAAGGCTGGCAGGGGATCAGACTTAACTTGGCTGGTGGAGAGGCTCTTCCATGAGGTTTCAGGGAGCAAACAAGACATCCAGAAACATCATCTGATGCATGTGCAAGAGAGACTAGAGGGGCGGAACGGGAAAGCTGGTGATCTCTGAGAGGCCAGAAGAGAAGGGCTCTGAGGTCGAGTGGTCCTACCATGGCTCCTCTTGTCTGGGCCCTTGGTCCTTTGTCTGTGTACTCTTGCAACACCCTCCTCATTGGTTGTCAGAATGATTTCTATACAACCCGAATCTAATCAGGCCACTCCCCACTCAAGAGCCATGGCTGCGTCCCACCACCCCTACATTTTTAGTGTCATAGTTCAGGCTTCCACTCTCTCCCACCCTCTCCCATGCAGCCTGACTTCAGCCAGGCTCGGACACACCCTCTTCCCAAAAATGCCATCCCCATCCTCTCCTCCACCTCATTGCTCTTACTGTTTCCTCTACTTGTAATTCATTCATTCATTTAATAAACAATCACTGGAGGCCTCCTCTTTGCTGGGCACGCTTCTAGTTTCTAGAAATGTAGCAGGGACTTCCCTGGTGACACAATAGTTAAGAATCTGCCTGCCAATGCAAGGGACATGGGTTCGATCCCTGGTCTGGGAAGATCCCACATGCTGTGGAGCAACTACTACTACTACTACTACATGTGCCACAACTACTGAGCCTGCACTCTAGAGCCCGCGAGCCGCAACTACTGAGCCCACGTGCCACAACTACTGAAGCCCGCGTGCCGCAATTACTGAAGCCCGCACGCTTAGAGCCCATGCTCCGCAACAAGAGAAGCCACTGCAATGAGAAGCCTGTGCACCGCAATGAAGAGTAGCCCCTGCTTACCACAACTAGAGAAAGCCCGCATGCAGCAACGAAGACCCAACGCAGCCAAAAATAAATAAGTAAATTTATTTTTAAAAAAAGAAATATAGCAGTAAAAGCAATAGACGTGGCCACTGCCTACCTGCTCTTGCTCACCTGAAAACCCCTGCCCCTCCATAAAAGATATGTTAATTAGGACTCTTGGTGGTAAGTGACAGAAAGCAATATAAACAAAATGTTAGTTTATTACCTCACATCATTGAAAATTCAGGAGTGACCTGAAGGGGAAGCTTCAGGCAAGGCTGGATCCAGGGTCTCACTCTCTCCATCTCCCAGATCCTTCCTCAGACATGTTCTCCCCCTGGAAACCAGCGGGCTGCTAGCAGCTCCAGAGTTATATCCTATTCACTCAGCAACCTCAGAAAGTCTCCGTCTCAACAGCTGGGTGCTATTACCAGAAGAAGGTGGATTAGGTCTTTGCTGGGCGAAACTAAGAAGGTGCCTACAGAGGTCCAGTTCTAATGGCAATCCCAGCACCCCTCCCCCTCCCAGACAGAAGCCAGTTCCCCTCCCCTGAGCATCCTGCTGCGGATGAGTTAGAGAGGGTAAGGGAGCCCCCAGAGAATGGGAAAGAGGACTCAGGGTCTTTTGCTCTCCTCCCTCCAGATCGCTGTGTCTATGTGTTCCAAGGACTGCCATCCTGGGCAAAAGAAGAAGCCAGCTGGCATCGACCCGGGCTGCTTCAAGTATATTGACTGCCTCTCTGGCACCTTCCTCAACCGAGCTGCAGGTATGATTCATGGGCCCACATGCTTGTCTTGCCACTGCCCTGCCCTGGGAGGGGGGTAGTCTCCAGGGCCCTTCACCTTCGGCAGGGTCTCTGGGGTCTCCCCCATGGTACGTAAGTGTCCAAAGGCCAAGAATTATGTCTTTCCCACCAGAGGGTGAGGTCTTGGGAGGAAGGAATTATAGTTATTAGACTCTGAGTCAAGGAGTCCTCGGCTCAAATCCTGCCTCTATAACTTCCTGGCTTTGTGACTTTACCTGGCTGAGCCTCAGTTTCCTCATCTGTGAAATGGGGTTGCTGTGAGGAGTTGATGAGTCAGGGGGTGTAAGGGACTCAGTGAGCATTGGTCGCCCTTAGCTCTCTCTCTCTCTCTCTTTCTCCTGCCGTGGCCTGGCCCAATGCAGGCCCAGTGGATGTAGATGCTGAGAAGGCAGGTTCGGCTGATGGGAGTTGCTGTGGGCTCTTGCAGGTGAATTCGACTGCCAGCCCTGCCCAAGTTACGAGTGGTCCCGCAGGAAAGACACCTCCTGCTTCAAGCGGCAGCTGGCCTTCCTTGAATGGCATGAGGCACCCACCACCACTGTGGTCGTGCTGGCTGCCCTGGGCTTCCTCGGCACCCTGGCCATCTCGATAATCTTCTGGAGGCAGTTTCAGACGCCCATGGTTCGCTCGGCTGGGGGGCCCGTGTGCTTCCTGATGCTGACGCCGCAGCTGATGGCATACATGGTGGTCCCCACGTATGCAGGGCTGCCCATGGTCTCCACGTGCCTCTGCCTCCAGGCCTTCCTCACGCTCTGCTTCACCGTCTGCGTCTCCTGCATCACCGTGCGCTCTTTCCACATCATCTGCATCTTCAAGATGGCCAGACGCCTCCCACGGGCCTACAGCTTCTGGGTCTGCTACCATGGGCCCTACGTCTTCGTGGCATTCATCACGGTGCTCAAGACAGTCATCGTGGGGAGCAGCATACTGGCCGTGACCACCAACCCCACTGCCCGCACTGACCCCGATGACCCCAAGGTCACGACCCTGTCCTGCAACCCCAGCTACCACCGGGGGCTGCTGATCAACACCAGCCTGGACCTGCTCGTCTCCGTGCTGGGCTTTGGCTTCACCTACATAGGCAAGGAGCTGCCCACCAACTACTACGAGGCCAAGTTCATCACCTTCTGCATTCACCTTCTACTTCACCTCCTCCGTCTTCCTCTGCACCTTCGTGTCTGTCTACGAGGGGGTGCTGGTCACCACCCTGGACCTCTTGGTCACTGTGCTGTACCTCCTGGGCATCACCCTGGGCTACTTCGGCCCCAAGTGCTACATGATCCTCTTCTACCTGGAGTGCAACACGCCAGCCTACTTCAACAGCATGATTCAGGGCTACACCATGGGAAGGGGATAGCACTCCTGTCATCTGCCCATTGGGATGAGGGCCTCAGCATTGGGAGATGGGGGCCGGGGGCTTGCTTGTTCAACTCCAGATGTCTGCAAGGAAGCCACCCCCAACGATTACCACCATGCCCTGGTATCTGATTTGGCGTTCCTCCGAGGTTCTCTGCATCCTGGCCATTTTTACCCACCTAGCGATGGACGCCTAGAAACATTTGCCCTTTGCTCCTTTCCCTCAAGCTGTTTAGCTTGCCAGGCAATGCCACCCCATTCTAGAAAAACAACCCAAGCTGACCTATTGGTTTCCAAGGACTGAGTCCAGTTTGGCAGCCTACAGCCGCCATCTGGTGGTCGCTCTGGGTACCTGCAGGTTCACGGTGAAGGGACGCCTGCTGGAGGGCTGGGCTGGGGTTGGAGGATGTGAGCTCAAATAATGCTGCCCTGCCTCACTCACTAGCTGCCCGTGTGTCCACGTCTCATCCCCGAGATTCCCCCAGAGCACGAATCCCCGGCTTCTCTGTTGTCTCTGAGTACGGCTGAGCCCATAAATGCTCGGGAATAAACCTCGCTTGGGTGAAACGAATGAGTTTCCTTCTTGTTTTCTGGAGGTCCCCTAAGAAGATGTGGAATCGGAGACCTCGGTTTCAATCCCAGCATTGCCACTTCTGAGCTGTGTACCTTGGGCCAATTATTTACTGCCCCTGAGCCTACACTTCCGCGTCCCTAAAATGGGAACATTGAAGGATCAGAGATAAGGGGTGCAAAGTGCGTATATTAAGTACTCAGTAAATGCCAACCGTTGCAAATCCACATGTCCCTGGAACCATCAGGGGCAAAATAAGACTGTGTTTCCTTTTTACACCCTGATGTCCGTGGTATATCTTCTAGTCCATGGTACTAGCCTCTGTTGGAAACTGGCCCCCACCCAGTAAATACTGGGTGTTGTTATGGGGTGCTCGAGCCTCTCATGTGCTCCAGAGCCACTGTGTACCATGGCACTGCCAAACCCGGGAGAGGCTGCTCTGCTGGGTGTGGCCGTATGCATGTCAACCACCCCCGATGGTGGGCTCCAGCTGTAGGAGGGGCCCTGTCTTCCCTGTTCAGGGGTCAGACCTGGCCTCTGACAGCTCACCAGGGAGCCACAACTTCCATACTGAGGCCTCCAAACTGCTGCCTGCCCAGAGAGGTTGAGTGACCGGCTCAGGTGCACCCAGCTCCAAGTTGGGAGAGGGAGTGTCAGAGCCTCAGTGCACTCAGGCAGGGAGATGGGGCCCCTGAAGAATCCATAACTGCGGTGACATGGTGGCCTTCTCAGAAATCCCCGGGAGTGATGGAGAGCTTGGCCAGCCCCAGCCCTGGCAGGAACAACTTCCCTAAGCTTATTTGCCGCTGGGAGGGCAGGACTGAGTCCTTGTCCTGAATTTACCTCTTTCATGCTTCAGGGTCGTGGGTGGCAGGATCTTGGCTTGAACCATCTGGGATTTGGGGCAACGGCCTTCATATTTTGGGCCGCTTCTCCATGGACGGTCCCTGTTTCTCTTCCCTAAGCCTCTTTCTGGAGCCTGGCACAGAGCAGGTGCTCCGTGGATACTGACGAACCGCTAAGTCACTGTCGGCTTCCTCCACCATCTCCTCCACTCCCCACCGCCCCTTCCCCAAACCATCACATCGTTCATTCAGTTCATCCTTCATGGCCTGGGGTACTGGAAGGACGCAACAAATATTTGTACTTATAATTGATGAGGACAACAGCTAACGTTTATTGCCCTCCCTAAGAACTGTACTGTAATTTTATCCATTTATTCCTCACTAAACTCTATGAGTTCGGTGCTGTTAGGGTCCTTATCTTACAGATGGGGAAAAAAAGAGACCCAAAAGGGTTATGAAACGTCCCCAACCCCACACAGCTCACCCCAGGAACCACGGCCCTCTGTGGAGTGAGACCCAGACAGCCCTGCCTGGAAAGCTGGTGCAGGGGAATGGCAATCACGGCTGGGTGGAGGGGGTGCAGTGTCCCCGCCAGGGCCCTGTGGTGTGCTGGGGGGCTTCAGATTTTAGAGAGATGGCTGGTGGATGCAGTGACCAGGGAAGACTTTGGGGGAAGCTGGCATTTGAAAAGAGCCTTGAAGGACAGTGAAGTTTGGGAAGGCAGGAAGTATGAGTGTTTGGGGAGGAGCGGGGGGTTGGGGAGGGGCGGGGTGGGTGGGACAGGCAGCAGAGCAAAGGCAGAGTGGAGGGAGGCCCCAGGAGCAGGCGGCTGAGGGCGGCTGGGTTGTAGAACCGAGCGTGGAAGGATAGCTGGGGCTACATGTGGGGGACCCTGACCTAGGTATCTGGACCTTGTCTTCCCTGGTGGCCACTGTCGGCGTCCCCCTCACAGACTGGCTGGCCCTGCTCCTGGGGTTGCCTGAGGTGCTGTCCCTGGATGTCCCTGACCTCTGTGACCAGCCTCCTCTCTGGCTCCATCCTCTTCCCACAGTCTTGGGTGTTGGCCTGGTGGGCTGGAGACTTGCTGGGACGAGACCCCAAGGACGGACTCTTGGTGTGACCATCCCTTTTCTGTCCCCTCTGCTTGCCTCGCAGGGGAGCCCAGAGCCTCGGCTGAGACCCCATCCAGCCCTGAGTTTCTGGGGAGCAGCTCTGTGCAGTCTGTTCCTGGATGTGCCTGTGTTCCGTGCCCCCCGCCCTTGGGACCAGCTTGTCAGAGGCTCAGGGAGTTTTAAGCTCTTAATTCTCTTTTCTTGCAAGCTTCTGATGCCTTGGTTTAAACATCTTTTTTTTAAGAGATAATGACCTCATTTTCCTGGTTCTGCCTCACAGACCACCATTAGAGAGAGAATCCAGGAATCCCACTGACCTCAGAGGCATCTGCTCCGCACCGCCTTCTATAGCCACCCCGAGCTGAGAGCTTAATCCCTTCTTTTTCCCCTCCAGTGACAGGAGGCTCACTGAGGACAATGCCAGTTACTATGTTGATAAAATTCTTCTTAGATTGAATCAAAACCTAACTCCCTGGGGTTCTGAAACATCTGTGGCCACTAGTTTTATTTTTGGGGACCACAAATTAAATCTCATTCCTCTTTCTCATGAAGGTCTTTTATATGTAATAACAGAAAGCATATTGCCTTTGAAGGAGCACCTACTGTGTGCCATCTGCTTCATATACATTATCTCTAATCCCCATGATGACCCTGCCTGATGGGTACCTGTGACCCTCGGTGGCCACGTGCTGATACCTCCCAGCATCCCCTTCCTCCCTCCCTCCCTGGCAGCCCCTGGGCTCCCAAGGAAGATCTATGTGGTTATAGGGAAGCTGCCTCCCGTGTCCTGGCTCCAGGGGATGGAGCAGGTAACCCAGGCCAAGCCAATCCACAGACACCCTTCCTTTGGCTGCAGTGATTGGCTCAGGGGTGGGCACATGACCTGGGTTGGTCCAATCAGAGCGACTTTCAGGATGCTTGCTGGGATAGCTTCTTTCTGGGGAACCAGCAAGGCTGTTGACCCAGGAGCTGGGGGCAGCTCTTGCAGGACCACAAGGCAAGTCAACCTTAGAGGCAAAGTGGAAGGATGGAAAAACTGGGTCCTTGGAAACCTTTGAGATGATGGATCTTCCGGGCAGGCAGCCCCACCTCTGAAATCTCCCATTTCACGAGTCCATTAACGTCCACTATTGCCCCAGACAGTTTGACTTGGATTTTCTGCCGCTTGCAACCCAATGCATCCTTACCCTAGGGAAGAGGAAACTGAAGCTCAGAGATGCTGATTAACTTGCCCAGGGTCACCAGCTCATAAGTGAGGGAGCTAGGATGTGGGTTCAAGGGGTAATTGGGGTGGGGTTCAGCTATTGTGCTCTCCTCGGATCATTTGTTTTTTTGGTCTAAAGGTTCTCAGTTGCTCTTAGGACCTGATTGTGACCACCGACCCGGAGCTCTCCTTTGGTCCTCTCCTTACTCTCTGACCCGTAACCATCTCTCCTAGAGCACCTCTCCAGCCTTCCTCTCCAAAGCCCCTGCCATCCTGCCCAAATCCACACTCTGGCCAGCTGATTGACGTCCCCTTATTCCAATCACAGTCACAGGTCTCCCCTGCTCAGAAACCTTCTGTGGCTCCCCAGGGCCTACACGATCCTGCCCCACCCCCTTCGTGTGCCAATCAGATCCTTCAAAATCTGGACCCTGCTCGTCTCTCCAGCTTCATCTCCAGCAGCCCCCCAGCTAGTCCCCAGACACACTGCTCGGTTTCACACCTTTGCTCAGGCCCTTCTGTCTTTTCCCCAGTGGACTTACGTTTGTCCCCTAAGGCCCAGTTCAAATGCCTCCTCCCCTGGGAAGACTTCCCTGCCTTAGGCCGAGGGCTTCCTTTGTGCTCCCATAGCTGCTTGGGCTTAACCTCTGTTGGTCCAGCACTTGTGACATGGCCGCTGCCTTTGTGGTCTGCTACCACCTGCGGGGGAGGGCAGGAACTGTTCTCTGTGCAGCCTTTTTCTCCCCTGTGGTCTCATCTCCAATGCTTCCATCGCTCAAGGCATTGTTGCCTGAGCAGTGAGATGCCCGGGGCCTTACTCAGGGCTGGAGTGGACCTGGTGGGAGCTGGCTGTGATCTGGGGCCGGGCCAGGAGAGAGGTGTTGCTTTCCCCGGTGGCAGGGGCTGCGGGGGGAATGGAGAGGGTGAGAGAGGGGAGCCAGCAAGCTGGGACTGAGCCTCCCAGGCAAGCAAAGTCTCTAGTGCTTCCTGGTCTCCCACAGTTTACTTACCTCAGGTATACTTTATAGAACTCTTAACTTGGAAAGAGAAAATCCCAAAGACTAAATTCCATTGTTTTAAGAAAGAAAAAGCAAATATCTGTTCCAGTTTCACCGGGTAACCGTTTTACTTGGGAAATTTCATAGAAATAGTAGGATATCTTTCTCTAAATCTCACTTTTTGAAGAAAAAACCAAATATGGCAGCATCTCCATCACTCAGACCAGAACCCTCTGCATCATCCCGACTTCTCTTTATCCCTCACCCTACATCCTATCTGTCAGCAAAACTGTTGACTCTACCTTCAGACTATATCCTGGTTTAAACCTACGTTCCAGCAGCAGCCTCCTAATGGCTTCTGCCCTCGTCCCCATAGTGCCCAAAATGGTTCTCTTAAAACCTAAGTCAGTTCATCGCCTTCCTCTGCTCAGTACCCCGTGGCTCCCCAGCACCTTCAGAGGAAGAGCCAAGGTCCTCATGTGGGCGTGTGTCAGACCCACAGGGCTCCCCGCCACCTCCCTCCTACACTCCTCTGCAGCCACAGTGCCCTCCTCACCATCCCCCAGACATGTCATGTTTCTGCCTCAGGGCCTTTGCACTGGCCGTTCCCTCCTCTTTATTTTTTATTTTACTTTAATTTTATATTTCTGGCCGCGCCATGCAGCATGCAGGATCTTAGTTCCCCGACCAGGGATCGAATCTGGGCCCCCTGCATTGGAAGAGCAGAGTCTTAACCACTGGACCTCCCAGGAAGTCCCTGTTCCCTCTTCTTGAAATGTCCTTCCTGACAGTCCCATGGTTTGTTGTCTCATGCATTTTGTCTTCCTGTTTTTTCTCT